AAAATTAGGGTCTTAAATTTTGGCAAAAAAAAGAGTTACTTATAAGAACAATTTAACTTGCTAACAGGCATCTTAATCGTTTCCCATAACCACAGATTGCCAAAATAACTATGCATGACTATTAGTAAGGCTTGGAATAGTCAACAAAACCACAACTTCTAATATGGAAAGTGACTTCAAATGACAAATAAATACATTTAAATGTTACCGAAGCATTGATGACTGCGCTTTTGAAATGTTCCAGTATTATTAGCCTGATTAGCCTGAGCCTAAAGGTTAAACTTTATTAAATAGGCTTTTTCCGATCAAAAAGAAGGAAGTGTTTACTATAAGTGAACCAGAAATACTTATAGCTTTGATAAGATTAGTCTTTTTTGTAAACCCAATCTTTAGGCTTTTTTTATAGCTATTCTGTGGCTCTTAAAAAGGTAATTTCTTTCGGAAAGCAACAAATATGAATTACGCAACAAAATAATGTTTCGAATTATCAGTAGAAGTAAAACCAAAGCTCCACGTTTATAAGCCATCAAACTGCTTACTGTAGTATTTCAAATGGAATATTGGACTTTTCTGGGAATTGCCAGACTAGACTATCTTTATTTTTTTGATTTTTCGTTTGGTTTATTTTTTGGATTTTCCGGAACCATTCTTGTAATGCGGAAACGGAGTAATCCACGTTCCGAGGGCGTACAATTCTCTCGTTTCTGTTTTCTGGCGTATTAATTTGCATTTTAGAGACTCGGGTCTGGTCTAAACATTTGCGTCAATGTCAAACCGAACGGCTGTGGCAACAAAAAGCACGTTGTAAAAATAACACAAAACGGCAGCCGACGTATCGACCAACAATAACAAAAGCGTTAACAAATCGGGTCGGCGTCATCGGGTATCAATCGTATATTTAAGCCAACTGAGCAATGAATGAACTGCGCGCCGCTTTCCCGAACGAACGATCTGCGTTCTATAAATACGACCAAATTATCCCGCCGTCAATCACTGTTTGATCAAGTGTTTGTGGGCCAAGTGCAGCAGCCAAAAAAAGAAACGGGGGCAACCGAAAACAAAAAGAAAGAAAACTTTCACACGCGTGCTTTAGGGGAAATGGGAAATGACTTTTCCATATTGACGCACATTTTTACCGCTCGTATCGTTCGTATTATTTTGGGATAGATGGGGGATGGAACAATCTTTTGGATACAATCTATAACCTATAACGTTCGACTAGAACACGTCAACTGAATTAGTTAATCAAGCAAAAGCGTAAGATAGCCACAAGCGGCCCAGCGAAAAAGAGCGCGCCTCGCAGCTTTGCTCTCTCTTTCGAGCTCTCTCTCTGTCTCTTACCATGTTTATGGCTTGAACTTCATGAACTATTGAATACGTGGTAGCAAAAAGAACCCTGTTCACAGAGCTAGAGTATAATCCCATAGCTTACCCTCAAATTAACAATTGAAATTAATAATAAAAAGAGAAAAAATCACTGGATTTCAATTTACAATTCGACGTATAATTGTTAATTACAAATTTAATCACAATTTAAAAAATTGACTACGCATAAACCGAGTCTTTCTCGCTCTCTCTCTCTCTCTCTCTGTCCCCCACTCTCTGCGTAAAAGTGAGAGTGAAAAAGCGTGGGCACATTCCAAGCTCTTCAAGTGTGTGCATGTGTGTGTGTGCGTGCTGCGATCTCGTCCATCTTCCCATTACGACAACGCTGCGTATGCGTGATTGGACCCAAAATATTGCGCATACGCGCCTTGGTACAAGCCAGAGTTGTATGTTTTCCCTCGTTTCTTTCGGTCACCATGACGTCACGGACGTCGAGCTTACCGCCAACGCAGCTTATCTTCTGTCCACTCTCTCTCTCTCTGTCTCTCTCTCTCATTCCCAAAAATAATAATAGTAAAAAAGCACTAAGACACGCGCCAAAGAGAACGCTTTTTGGACACTCTCTCATTCTCCCGCACTTCCTCTTCCTCTCCTCTCCACATCTATCCCCATCTCCCTCTGACCACTGGCGTTTCATTTGCGAGGGAAGAGCTCGCCCACGCCGAATCGCTTTCATTGTTAACTTTATTTTTTGTGCGTTTTGATTTTCGTAGCAGAATGGAATAAATAAATATATATGGATGGATATGTATGTATTAAGACAGTCGTGGTCAGAAAAATAGCAATGCAATAATATAATTGAAATATTATAAATAAAGAAAGAACTTTACCAAATTTTAATCATATTAAAATATAAAAATTTTTTTTAAATTTATATTTAACTAAAGTTTGGTTTCACAAGAAATTTTACAAAAAAAATTAAGAACTTTTACAATTATCCCAACTTCAACATACATGTATTATTGAATGCCTATCATCTGGCTTTAAGACCTATATAATTGTATTTTTCCCTACAAAATTGAACACAACATTTAATCATTGGGATCCACCTAATATTTTCGACCTACAAATATTAAAGTGTTCGCAAAAGTGAGATGAAATAAATCCAGTTCTAATGAAATGAGTAATAGATTATAATAGATAACAAATAATGAGTGATATTTGTCTTTCCCAGCTTGTACAACAGAGTGGGTAGATTATGTATACAAATATGGGTAGGTAGATAAACAGCAATGTAAATGTTTATTCATATATATGTATGTATGTATGAACCTGAAGAGGCTTTTTGGCAAATTGAGCGAAATATGTCGAGGGGCTCCAATGTTCGCCGATTTTCAATGCCGGCCGGCGATTTCTCTGGGTCCCCAAACCAAAACTCCCCCATAATACCTATTTATACTATATATATACATATATACTTTCGTTCACAGTACGATCTCTGGTAACTGTACATTGCCAGTAGGACGAAATGTAGAACGCAATTCCAAGACAAACAGCAAAACAGCAAAGAGCACAAAAATGTGGGACTCGAGCAAACGAAACGCAAATGAAATGGAAAACAAGACATCAAGAACAGCAACAACAGCAACAACAACAACAAACTGGGATGATGATAGCTACCTGTTGTTGTTTTTTGTACATTTTTTATTTATGCAAATAGTGGGGGAGGGGGTGGTGACAGTGGGTTGTCCCCAATCAAAATTACGTCTTATTCTGTATGACTAAGGGAGTGGGTATGTATGTAGTATGTAGGTAGTTGTTTTCATCTTTCGCGTGGGCAGACGAAAACCGCCGCCCACGCACCGCATGCTGCGATAGCCACGCCCACCCACCGCCTACCTAACGCCCACATCCACCCACTACCCATCGCCCCCCTGTGTGTGTGTGTGTGTGTGTGTGCTTTTAGAGGGGTTTCCCCTTTTTTTCTGTTCAAGCGCTGATTGTGTGCACTCAACTACTTCCTACAACAAGGATTTCCGAGTCAGGTACGACAGTAATATTTTATGGGAGTTCATATAAAAACAAAGCGAATAACTAACTTTTATGGGCGGAACAGTGGAGTAATGGAGAAAGTCACAACAGTACTCAAAGGGGCCTACAAAGCACAGGTTAGAACTGTAAAAAACAATTGCATACAAAAGGGGTTTTGATTTCAAATGTTTTTAAATGTGAGCATGGGATTTTTGAATTAATAAGTAATCCTCCTTTCCCATTATATACATTTTTAGATAATACAACGTTCTTTTTTTTTTAAACGTTCTCAGAAACCTCTTAGATTTAGTTTTATATATTATAACTAATTTTCTTAAATAAAAACATACAATGCTATATCAATACACTTTAAAATGCATAAAACTAACTGTTTTCAAATGCTAAAAATCAGAAACTTTAAAAATTCAAGTTTCAGCTCCATTTGCTTTTATATAATGTATAATATATGTACTCTATAACAATTAAACAAAAGCCATATAAATCAAGAACTTGCCCAATACCGACCATGATATCCATGATCCCTCCCACTTCCTTTCAATCAACAAGAACCACAAAGTAAATATGAACAAGACACAACAACAAAATTTGACGCATGACATGAAAAGCCAACGAAACGAGACAGAAATGTTCAGCTTGAAGACATTTTTCCGGCATTCCGTTGATAGAGAACCCACAGCCCACTTGGCACAGAAACTCGGATACTTGGATGCGCGGATACTGGATTCACAGATACGACATAAAAAGATTGCGCATATATGGGCACATGGAAGAACGCAACCGCACACACCAGATGAGAAATATCTTTTGTATTAATAGAGGCATGTTTAATATTTTAATTTCAGGGGCCGTGGTGCCACGCTTCGTGCCTTTGTGGGGCAAGCTGGGATTGGGTTGCGTTGACTTTTGGCTTTTGACTTGCCACGACGAGAGCCGGAAGTGCCACAATGGGGCAAACTGTGATGACAGGCCACCTGGAAATATGTCGGATTGCACTCCAAAGCAGACACATTTCGGGCAAAAACTTTTGCAAGTAGAAGTGCATCATCTAAAAGGTTATCTTTTATCCCTGATCTGATTAAAAACCAGATGTATAATGCAACAAATCATCAAGGAATTAATTAGAATAGTTATGCATATTGGTTGGATTTAACCGGGCTGATTGATTTCTTATCCATAATATTTTTGTAAAAGTATCTTCTTTTCGGTATTAAAAATCCATCATATTTTTAGTAACTTTTAAGAGTAGGTTTATACAACCTTTAAATCAAGTTTTTATTGACTAGAAATGTTCTGCATATTGATTGGGTTCAACCTGGCTGGTTGCTTTTATACCTATATAAACCATATTTCTCTAACACAAAACTATAATCGTGAAAAGCCTTTCAAAAGGTACTTTCTTTTCTATACTAAAAATCCCATCTTTAGTAACTTTTAAGAGTATGTTTACAGAATCTTTTCAGGCGTAAAACAAACAGATACATGAGTACGAAATAATTCAGAAATCCTAACAACTATATTCAAACATGTGTGTATCAAAACTTCCACTTGCCCTACGATTTCAAGATCTCTCTGTGAATTTTCCCATGGACCCGCCGCCCAAAAGTATGCCATCGAAAACTCACCTTGAGCAGCGTGAGAATCTTCTGGGAGAGGTCGTAGTCAAAGTTCGAGTACTTGGAGCCGCTCATGTCGTAGATGAAGACGAGGCCGGCGCGCTGCGTCTCCGAGTCCTGGAGCGCGCTGTCCAGCTGATAGACGATGCCCTGCAGCGTGGTCGTGTGCGAAACGCTCAGCGGACTGTGTCGGTTGGCGGTGAAGAGGGCGATTGCGGCGCCACTGGAGGTGCGGGCGGGCTGAAAGCAGAAGTTAAATGGTGATTATCAATGTATCCCAAGGGTCAGGACTTCAATTACACACTCACCAGGATGGTAAACTTGCCGGTCTGCAGCTCGGAGCGCAAGGGCTCCACATCCGGATCGATGTTATAGAGATACTCCTTGAGGCGGATCTGTTCATGCTGCTCGTACAGCGAGACCGCTCGCGGTATGTCGAATTTACGGGCGTACAGAAACTTGACGGCTGTCGTATGCGATATGTGGCGCCTCACGGGCGCACCTCCACCCCCTCCATCGCCCGGTGCCGCCGGTAGTTGCACCTGCAGCTGCTGTGTGTGTGGCGGCAAAATCGCTATTAAGTTCTGCGTGCTGCTGGCTGAGGAGGAGGAAGCTGACGGGGATGTGGCTGTCGTCGTGCTGCAGTTAGCACCCAGGTTGTTGCAGAGATCGATGAATTGTTTCACAGCCTGCAAAATAAGTCACAAAAGTAAAGGGAGAATATGAGACATTTGTTTGCTATATTAGTAACATCAATTAGAACTGCATGATTTCATTGAGATGATCTGGTATTAACCAGAAATCCATCAAACGACATTCACTTATGCAGTTCTTGGAAAAAGTGAGGCTATTGAATTGGAAATCTCATTAAATATACAAATATCCCATAAACATTATTGAACAGATCTACCAAAAAAATTAAATATTAATACTTCTCCTATGAAATTAAAAACTTCCCGCAATAAATCAAAACGAAATTCCATTGAAATTCCATTCCATTTCCAAAAATAAATTGTTATCAGCAACCTGTTTGAAGATCTTCTTACATTTGACAGGCATTTTGACTAAAATGTATGGGTTATATATTTCCCGGATCTTTGAGGCCGTTCCTCAGCTTTTTAATTCGAATAGATTCCATTACATTACGAATTTATGTGAAATAGTACTGTGACAGTACAAGTTTATCGCTTTAATCCAGTATCTGTACAATATCTTGGAGATCTTAAAAGATAGCCTCATTAAGAACCATCTGCAGTGAGAGAACGGGTTGGGTCCTCCATCATAACCAAGTAAATTTACGACAATTGGTTAAATTACGGAACTAGTTCTGCCACTCTGACCCACATTAAGTGGTCAACTGGTTTCCGCTTGCCATTGCCCATTTGATTCATGGGCATTGAATTGGATATGATAGGATAGTATAGGATAGGACTGAGAACGAGAACGAGTCTGAGCAGATCAATAAACCCGCAGTCTTTATGATCGGCGGAACTAGTTCAGAGCTGACGGATCGTAAATTTGTGCAGTTTATGGAGTGATGCAAACTCGGTGTTCTCACGATATCGTGATGCTGTGCAATTAAGCACGGTGATCATCTTTCATTTTGAGTTAATGGCTCACGCCCATGATCACATCACTGCTTATAATGTTACAAGTACTACGTACATATACATAGATTTACTATGCACATTGTGCAATGCTATTGCACTGTGCCCACCTTATCTTTCGAGATTAAGTGTGTAAATGGGTGGTATCAACAAATGTGCCACCTTTTGGCTTTTCCGCTTTCAGTCGAATTATCTGTATCTAGCAATTTCCGCGACTGTATTTGATTACGCTTCTTTAAACACGTATAACATTGTCATTATTTCTTTTGGTAGAGATAATATTTGTATACTTTTCATGTTTCTGGCGAAAAGTGCAAGTTTCATTCAATTTTTAATGGGTCAGCCTCGTCAGTGCCTCTGGGGTGTGTTGTTGACCCCGTTTCACATGAAGGTTAATGCAATGCGAGGAGCCAAAGCCACCAAAGTGTCGGATCAACGAAATTAAAGCATTATACGCCGGGTGGGAATTGCTCAATTAATGGCAATTCGTCATTATTGGCGTACCAATTGAGGGCTTTTCTTTATCTCGCTCTCTTGCTGCTTGTTGTTTTTTGGGCTTTCCAGTGTTCATTCACCGCCGGTTCTTCTTGGCTACAATTAACCAGGTGCAAATTCCATCGATTTCCCATTGCTTCATTCATTCTTTCAGAGCCCTCTTCATTCAAGCGATTTTCTACGCTAACTAATTAGCTATTTCAAATGCCAGGCACGAGTATAGGTATTATTTTACCCACACATATGTAGGTATGTATACAAACGGCCCAGAACGGAACTGATTGGAACCGATCGAAACCCACCTGTTCGCGGCTGCGACGTCGTTGATACAGATGCACCATGTTTTATTATTTCGATAATCAAATATTTGTGATTTAAATCACTGACGGTTCATTCGCACTTTATGACACCTGAACAAAAATTAGGATATATCCCACAGCTGATGAATGATGATGTAGGGGGCTCTCTTTTCGCGACACGCCGCGTCCGAAGTTTCTTGTGTACTGAAAACTGCAAATACTCGCGACCACTTGGCTTCGATCGCCGGGCAGAGCGGAAGGCAGCGCTGTCGACGTCGCCGACTGATAGCGGATACACTGCGAAAAACGCGAGTCTGGGTTCGAGGTTAAATCGCTTTAAGAAATCACAGGGACCTTTTTATAAGATCTTCTATTTAAACTAGTTTATTTCACTTTTCAAAGATAAAATTGTAGTAGTTACAATAAAAACAGGTGTAGCTTTAACTTTTTATCATTATAAAACTGTCAAAAGTAGAACAGTTTTTTTCTAAAATAATTGAGTTTATTTAAAATATGGCTTTAATCCATAAGCTATTACCTCTCATTTAGGAATTTGAAATGCTTTTTAAAATGGAATCTTTGGAAACCTGGTTTGAACCGTCTTATATATTAAGATATTATAGTATTTCCCAACAAAATCATTCAAAAACTGTAATATTTCAAAAAGTTAGGACCACCATCCTTCAAAATTGAGAAGTTCCCCAAAAGTTACGGCGCTGATCTTAAGTTTAGTCAAAGATTATTCGCATCTTGAAGTATTTACAAATATTTTTAAATGGGATTTTGCTATTTTTTCGATCTGTGTACCACCGCTGCTCTGCTGCGGTTAACGAACTGCAGGGGCAGCCAACACGTTGAGCGTTTTCTCGGAAACGGAGACGCGGGCGGCGCCAGCGGAGGCATACCAACAATTTGAGTCATGCGGGAGTCGCCGATGGAGACGAAGCCACCGTAGTACCGGTACCAGAGCCACCATATGTCACCCTTCGACCGGTGCACAGTGGGACAGATCGGTGATAGCGCCGATGTTTGATTAGTGTTGCGACAAGCGATAACTTATCTAGCAAATTGTGTTCGTAAGAACTCGAGCTTTTATCAGGCAACATTCGCAGAAGCGCTCCCATTCACTGAACCGAAGCCTATCAATTAGCATGAGTTGTTGCTCTACGAGCTCACGTTCGTGTGCGAATTCTCATAAATTAATTTGTTTTTTGTGCAAATTCACGCTAAATATTTGAGAATTGTCATTGGTTTTTGCAAAACAATTCGGAAACCAAAGACGGATAATTGCGTTTCGTATGAAAGGCATTTTCTTAAGAAAGTAACTAATACTGTAGGTAGATTTATGGGGAGCATTGAGACGAACCTTTCTTTGGAAAGATTTTTCTAAATATTATACATTTTTGATCTCTAAAAATAATTAATTATTTTGATAAAATCAATAAAAACAAATTATTATTGTTAACAAAAATATTTAAAACAAATAGAAAATATACAGAAACTATTTTTCCATTTTATACATCTTGCCTCAGTGTGCGGGTCCAGGGATTCCTTCGAAACGGATTCTGATGATGTGAGGCCCGAAAGAGAGGTGAGTGATGCTATGCGTCATCGTATTTATGATCCTCACCTCTTTCCCGACGATCGTGTTTGTTTATCTCGCGTCTTTCTACGAATACATTATCGCGACGAAGTCAGGGAACAGGGGCTTAATGGTTTTAATGGTTATGACATAAGATATTCAATTCTCGCTTTTTTCAAAGGAAACGAAATATGTCCCGTGAGGAGTCGAAATTGGAATCCTATGATTTGTAATTGGACTATTTCCGTTAACGACAAAAAAGCAGTTCCCAAAACTGGTTATATGCATATATATGTAGGTACATGTGTGGTATTTGTTTATAATGTGTCATCCGTCGGTTGTAGGTTTGTTGTTTATTTGTTGTAGTTGTTAGCTGGCCTAGGCCAACAGGTCACCAAGTCTTGTCTAATTTTAGATACTTGCTAATGGCCCCGCGGGCGCTACTTTCACTTTTGCCTCGTGGGGATCACAGGGGCGGGTCGAGGCGGGGCTGGACTGGACTGGAAATCGAAAAAGGTTTATCGGAGAGAGTCGCCCGAATGCCCCGGATTGTGACTAAGTTCATTGGAATGGGTCAGATGTGGCAGTCCAAAAAAAAGGTTGTTTGTGTATGCTGATGCGCTGATGTATCAGTTCCATGAAAGAATCTCAATCAATCAAATGAGAAATGTTTACAAAAGATCATTAGTTTCCTTGGTTCTAAAAGAGATTTTAATGATTAATTAAGATTTTATGGTAATGCAAATAAGAAATTAATGTACTATTCTCTGTTTAAGCTACAACTTTAAAACAATGTATAATCAGATATAGTATCTTGCAATAACGCATGAATAATCAGTCTTATTGTTTGTCATTTAGCTATGCTAAAAAAAGAAAGAAAGCGGTTAGAGAAGAGAGATAGAGAGGCGGTTCACTCACTTCCGGTTTCGGTTTGAGTTCTGGTTATGGTTATGGTTATGATTACAGTCAACGTAAATCTCTTGGCCAGAGCCAGTTAATAGAGCAACAACAACCCCGCCGCCAGTCTTCTTAACTGTTTGCATGCAAAGTAAAAGCGACAGACCTCGCAAACTGTTCCGATCCGTTCCATTCCGTTCAGTTTTTACTGAGTTCGGTTCGGTTCTACCTGGAAACTGTAAAACCACTCGGGGCCATGGCTAAATCGGTGTCTCCGATCTCTGGAGAAGAGTCTTTGCCGCTGTTAACGGACTCTGAGCATGGAAGCCGCTGGTTCTGAAAATCATCCAACGATCAGCGATTGGAAAACTCCCAGTTAGACTTGCTTGGAGAAAGACCAAGACCAACCCATGCAGATTGGGCGGAGAAAGCAGAAATGGGGGAGTACTACTACTACCTATCAACTGATCAGCATAGTAGTTACTGTGCCCAGATGATCACTCATCATCAATGATTTCGCTGCTGACTAATCTCTGGTCGTGAACAATTGCTCTGTAGTAAATGGAGCATTCAATCAGAATATATTTACGCTGAATTGCACTCGGTCAGTGAGTTGACAAACCAGTTGGGTGAGTGGAAAGAGTTTAAACAGAGCTATATAATCTTTATAAAGGGTATGTTTCTGATCTGAAACGGATGGCCTAGTTTACGTAGAAAATATAGACCTAAAGAGATTATTTAAAGTCGAATTTCTATGCAAATGTGTTAAAGTCTCACTTTATCTTGGTTATCCATTTCTCGCATTGTAACCAGTCAGTGAGCTCGGAAATAACCCTCATCAAGCGAATTCCCCAGGCCCTCCCCCACGATCCTCAAACGAGGCATTCGCCATTATTTACGGCTTTATTCCGGCTCCTTTCGACGATTTCCTTTCACAGGATACAGGATATTGCTGACAGATTGTTGTCTGAGAATATTGCACAGTTTCCACAGCAGGAAACGCACACAGTGAAGGGGATATTTTTTTTGTTCGCAGGAGGGGCTACTTCCTTTCACACTTTCGCAATTGATTCGAAATGCTCTGCTAAAGCGCATTTATTATGCTTCCGCGTAATGCGCAGTCGCAAATTGGTTTACGGGGAGTGATATGGGGGCTTTTGAGATGACGATGAGGTTGAGGATGAGGAGGGCAGAAAAGAGCTGACCCCATAGCGGATTGTGCTAACTTGGAGCGGGACAAAAGACCGCTCAGTTCGCATTTTGCCGCTACAGTTCAACCTCAATGTGTGGTAAAAAATATGGATTTATGAATTAAAAAGCTTCAACTCGTACTTATAATACGATACGGATTTAAAGAAAATGAGTATATAGTTTTGATGCATTCTAAAAAACAATATTGTAAATATTTTGAATAAATTTTTTATAACACAAATATTTGGATTGGGAATATAAAAAACATGCTTTAGTCTCAAATTAAGTATGTAAATTATTATTATAAATAAATTATAATTGGCAAGGAATGCATTTTTAAAATGCCCACTAAAAAACGCAAAAAATAAAAGTTATAAAGCCTGTTTATTAAGACTTTGTCCAAGAATATCCACTATGCTTTTCAAACGGTTTATCTTCATTGTCTATCCGTATACCCCCCTTTTTAGACCCCTTTCCCATTCCGCCACGCCCATTTGCATATGAACATACGCTTTTAGAGAGAAATGTGCAAAGAAGCAGCGGCGAAATTTCATTTGCATGCGAATTGATGTCGGGTCTGGGGTCTGCCGTTCAGCTCGTGTTTCTTGTGCGATGAGATGTGTTACATATGGTACGAATCCGAGTTCCAAACGGAACTTGGCCAATAGCAAAAGAAATGCGAGGCGAAAAACAAAAGAAACCAGCTGTTGGCTAACGAGGGGCTAAGGGAGATGAAAATGGAAGTGGAAATGGAACATGATTTCATACTACCAACAGCTGCTATGAATTTTCGGAAATATCTGATAGCATATTTCATGGAAATAGGTGAGTAATTAGAATGTATGAGTACAACAAACGAATAACCGAAAAGTAGGTCTTCCTTAATAAAAGCATACCGTCCCTTGAAGTTGCTAGAAATAGAATTTGAATTCAGACATTTTATTTTTAAAGAACTGCCTTTACTTAGATTTATTCTTATTTAATGCCTGATTTTATGAGAAGTGTACAGCAAATCTTTATAGACAGTTCCCAGATCTAACACTCTTGTTTCCCGGTATTGGGCAATTTAGTACTTGTTTTTTCGAAACTCTCTTCCTAGCCAAAATGAAGTGTAAGGCTTTTATTTAATGTCGGATCTGATAAGATATGTATGTGGCTACTTGGTATAACTAAGATGGGTTCTTTTCTTGCCCTCTCTCTGAAGATAAATACAGCATCAGCGATAAGTGAGTAAGTTGTTCTGGCTTTCCCAGTAATTCTCAGGTGGGAAGGCAACTTCAGAGAACTCTTTGTTCGATGCTAATGAACTAGAGAAGAAAGAACAAGAAGAAGACCAGAAGAACACACAGCGAAGCTGCAGAGAGAGCAACAAGTTGAAAAGGAAAAGAAGGAGCAAAAAGGCCACAAAAACTATCTATAAATAGCCCAGCAAAAGCACTGCAAGTGAAGGAGAGTAGGTACTAACTACACTAAAAAAAAAACATATAAATATCAAGCATGACATGGCAAAAAAGCTTAAAACCCGACTTCAAGTTTATTTTGATCTTTTAAGAACGTATTTAACAAAAATTTCTTGGTTAAAGTAATTTGAACATAGTTTCGTAAACTCTAGAATTATAATATAAGTTCTAATTTTTTCTTGTGTAGCACAAAAGAGAGAGCCACGCAAAGAGAGCATCCTGGGATGAGAGAAAAGCCAAGCAAAGCTTAGAAAGTAAAAATCAAAGACATGTGCGAGAAGGAGATGGATAAACGCACACACTCACACACCTTGGCAATGCACAGGAAGAGACGCTGATGACAGCCGCTATCCTGCTCGCTCCCACTGCCACTGTTGTTGTTCCTGTCCTCCGGCTTGTCCTTATTCCAATGCGTTCGCTGCATTTTAGGGCATTTTTCACACAAACACAAACAGACACACACACACTAGAAAGACCACTATATTGCACGCACAAAAACAAATAAATAAATAATAATAGTAATAGTTTAATTCCACATCACAGCGAAACGACGCGAACGCACGAGGCGGTTGGATGAGAACAGATGAACGCGCGTCGACTGACAACAAACAATGAATAGCGAACGGCGAAACAGCGAAACGGCGAGAAACGCAGCCAGCAGCCTCTGCTGGCGTCGGCAGAGCCGCTGCGCATGCGCACAAGAGAAAGAAAAGCGCACAGTGGGCCAAGCGGACAAGAACTTTGATTTTGAAATTTCTAATCACATGTGACCTGTACTAATTATATTTTGGCTTAGTTTTCCATTTCTATATTTTCTGTATGTTCTACAAAAGTTTTCAACAAATATTCTGTGGTAACTAAGACTTTAAAAATATCAAAGCCAAGTTGATCATACATAACTATACATACATTTTTTAAACCATTTTTAAATAAATCGAGTATATAAAAAAGAGTTATCTCTAAGAAAATAAATAATTATTAAAATCATTTTCAAAGAAACAAATATGATCTTGCAATGGGAAAGCCATTTTGCCCACTGTGGAGCGGAGAGAAGCTGAGCGAGTGGAGCTGCGCCCCATTACAAGGCGCAGTTGTTGTTGTCGCTGCTGCCACTGACACAATTCAATGTCAGCCGGCGATAGAGAGAGGGGGCGAGAGAGCGGAGCGCCGATGTTAAAACTAAAAGGATGCCCATTAACAATGATCATGATCTGTTAATCGCCAGCTCGTACAGTGGAACGAATTGTAGCAGCAGTGCTCTTATTAAAATTTAAAATAATTTGTGATGTATTAAAGAGAGTTCTTAAAAAGCATTTGTAAACTCAAATTAAAAGGAACTAAAATACATAACTATATTTAAAAAAAACATTTCGATTGGCAGTCTTTCTAACATTTACGCGGTCGGATGCGCCCAATTTGAATTCCACATTTTTGCTGTTACTAACTTTGTTTCAAACCTATTTATTGAGAAGATATGAGGTAATTTTTCAGACCAAGATCCCACTGTATTCTAACAGAGGTGCGCACCGGGCTCAGTCGAAAGCCGTCAATGAAAATGAATAAAAAATGCGAGGAAAATAACTAAATCAAGCTTAAATCTTAATGCCCAAAGGCACGGCTCGCTGAGCGGCTTTTGTGATTAATTTAATTTATTTTCTTTTTTTCATGACTTCTTATGAAAGTGTTAAGAAATTTCGCCACAGTTTCGAGTGTCGTTGGAGAAAAAAAATTTCACTTGCTTCGCGTACGACGACTACGACTCACATATGTACATTTGTACATATGTATTCTACATATGCGAGTGCTTTTTGTTTTCTACCATTTGCGCATGATTATTATTATTTTTTCATTATTATTACGCTTTCTTGTGGCGCGCGCGCCTGTCTCTCGATTATTTAAACAAAACGCTCGCTTAAGTCTGTCTCTTTTCCGCTGCCCCCTCGCACCGCCTCCCCCTTTTTCCCCAGGGGGCGTGACATTGAGACAAGACAAAAGACTTGAGCATCACGCTTCTGCTGTTGTTGTTACTATAATATAATTACTATTACTACTATTGTTGTTGCCGCTGCTGAGCACACATCAGGCTGAAAAAACTTTCTTTTCAATGCGTTTTTATACACAAATCCGCATTGAAAAGAAATCACCGCAGCTTAAACACACATATGTTAATACTGATGAATCGATCTGATTACTACAGTCCTACTTCAGTAAGAAAAACCCAAAACAGTGGATCCTCCAAGTCAGTTGAAAAAAAAAATCGATCACTTGTGTACATTTATTTTTTTTGTCACCATACAATTCCTCTTAAAAAATATGGGATTTCCAACTAATTCTATTAAACATCTCTATTAAAATGTTTCCATTAATATTTTAATGCAGTTCGGGTGTAACATAAAATCTCAAACAAAAAGGATTATAATTAAATTTCTCATAGTTTTAAAAAAGTTAAGTATTTTTTAATTTTATATATATCTCTATAACGCTGTACCCATTAAGAGAAATGCGACTTGGCGCCCTCGAAACGAGTTTGATCCACAAATTAGCCGCCGCTGTTGACCCCATTCCCCATAGAAAGTGATCACAAATTGGATTAGGGGCGTTATTATTCCCCCTCCCCCATCAAGTATGTATATTTATACGATTACGCAATGGAGCAAGATTCAGAATCCCCCGAAAACCAAAAAAAACTTGGTAATGCCTTCATGATGCGACACATTTCTCCAGTTGGCTATGGAACGTGACTAAGCTGAGCAATTGAAAGCATTTCTCATTCTCCATTTCGCCAGCTGAAGACTTCTTATATCATGTCCCCAACTTAAAACTGCTTTATTGCGAAGTTTGTAAATTGAAATTAAAACGTACAAAGTGCTTATAAGATTTGTTTATGCTGTTGGTCGTTTTGTAGATGGTATACTATATATGTAAGACTTGTTATATAATTATTTCTTTTTCAATATACTCAGGTTGAACTTCTATAAACAAAGTTTTTTGATAAGAATAGCTCTAAAAAAAGCAAGTTCCATCTTAATATCATTTAAAAACTTCAAACCTAGAGTTCTTAGTTAAAGGATGGCCAAAACAGTTTTGTCTGTCGAATACTTTCAGATGTGTTATGATAAAGTCAGCAGCCCGAGGCAATAAACCTATAGACTTGGAGCGTACTTGGCAGCCCTCTGGGATTCCATATTGGACTCAATTAAGTCTGCCACATAGCCATTTCCCTTCCGTCCAATCCAATCCGTTTTATGCTTCTGGCACAGCCAATGGGCAAACTGCCAAGGGAGCATAACAGCCTTTGAAAAGCAAACAAAACAAATGAAATGTTGCCTTTTTAATTATCAGAAATGGCTAAAAACTTCCAAACAGGAGAGAGAGCCAAATGTGGGAGAAACCATAAAAAAAACAACAGCAACATGTTCTCTGGCTCTATGTAGGCCAAAACAAATGAAAAGCCCTCGGCCCCCACATTTAGCACCATATCTCTAAACCTCCCCCAAAACTCATTTCTTTTGCACAATGTAAATCGGTCAAACCAATCAAAAGCGAAAAAAGAGCAACAATGCCCCTAAGAGTTCTTTCAACTTGCTTTTTACGTGTTCGTCTAGTTTTTACACATGGAAAAAAGTCACAGAAATATGATTTAAATTTAATTATCAAAATAAATGCATACTCAAAAGGACATATTTACGTTTTAAATTAACCATGACTAAACTTGAAAATGCATTATTATTTAAGAAGGATGACACCACAATACAATAACCAGTAATTTAAAACGCCTTGAGCAATAACGCCCATTTTTTTCAATCTTGTGTTTCTAACAAATATTAAATACAACAATTTTTAAAATTATAGACCATACTTTACTGGAAATACATTTAAAACCAGTAAAGACTTCGGCTCAATGAAGTGGATTTTTCTCCGTGTACCATAGTTGTGATTTTGGTTAGAAATGGTTAAAAGCCCGCGGCATTCGAAAGTGTTGAGGATGGGATCAAGACAAGTTGGAAGTCAGAGACGAGAGATGGAAGATGAAAGATACGGATGAGATGTGGGGACACATGTCATTGTCAGGCCGTGGTCCAAATGCAATTGAGAAAATATCGCAATGAGGACTTGAGCACGACACAATGAGCTGAGATGGGCGGCTGGAGAGATGGGGAGAACCAGAACAGCGGAAATGAAGACTCAGACAATGGTACCTTTGCATTAGAAACTATATTTGTATAGAGAACCAACGGCAGCCAAAGCAAGGCAAAGCGAAGCCAAAAACTTTGGTAGTAATTGTGCAAAAGAAAGCCAAAGAACTGCGAAGAGCCAAGAATAAGAGGGATATAGAAAAAGACCAAATAGTCAGATACAGCACAGTGGGTACTCAATAAGATGTAAGATAGTTTGAATGCTGTTTTTCAGATTGTATAACATAATGATATTAAATATACCTATGATAAAATAACACATTTCTACACAGAGAGAATTCTGGCGATCTCATCTGAGTTAAAAATGTTCTTAAGAAATAGAACGAAATTTTTGAAGTTTAAAATGTTTTCATTGTTCTTGAATCAAGTTGAACTGGCGGTATCAACATTGTATATCTCAATAACTAAACTATTAGTTCAGTCGTTAGAGTTGTTAAAGTTGTTAAATAAACTTAATTTAACTTTTCCCTTCTCACTATTTTGTTCTAGTATTGAGAACATTGACACCAAAATGTACTTACACGGTTTTTAAGAACGAATGTTCTCAATTCAAGAACAATGTACTTGAATATTTCTCTCTGTGTAAATTTCCTCTGTGAGATGTATTATTTTTTAGGTTTTACAATACAAATTTGTTTATTTAATATTTAAGTACCTGCACTTGCTAGCTTTGGATGAAACTAAATATTTCGTAGTCTACATTTGGGCAGCCAAAGAAATGATAAGAAATAACCAGGAATTGTGAGATAACCCAGCTATATAAACCATGTAAATTCTAGACTTTCTAGGCTCCTTAAATATTTGCCGTGTACATGGGGCTAACACCTTATCTAGTGTTTACTGTACTCGCAAAGAAATCACTGCGGCAGCAACAACAGCAAGGCAAGTCAAATCCACGCCAGCATCTGAAGCTCAGAGGCGGAGCATCAGCGGAGCAGATTGGGATTCGGATTCAGAATCAGAATCAGAATAAACTGGCGGCGGAAGAGAAGAGCTGGGAGTTGAAAGCTGGGAACTGGGAACTGGGAGCCTGGGTCTCTGGTCTCTGAGAGCCACTCCATCGGTCGGTCACATGCGAGTGTGCGAGTCGGGTCTAGGGAGTTCAACAACCTGCATGATTGGCATGGAGGCATGAGGCAAACAACAAAAATGAAACACAATGCCCTAGCTGCACACCAAGTGCTCCTCCTCATCCTCATCCTCATCCTCCTCCTCCAATGGCAATCGCAATAGTTCCAATTATGCACAAGTAAATGGAAAATCGTAATAAGCAGCGGACCAGGGATCTGGCCACGATTAAATGGCCGGACTCAGATAGCCAGACGGATATATCCATTGACCCACTTTGGTGGCAAACACATCCCCGCCGCAGTGGGGCAAACAATCGGAGGGGTTACCATGCAGGAAGC